GTTTGGACTCTCATTCTGACGGCACCCATTCACTGCAGAGGATCCGTTGGTGAGCAACTAATGCAATACTACATTTTTCCAAATCTGTTCTGATGAAGAAACTAACTCATCCACATCTTGAATGGCCCGAGAGTGAGTAAACTATTCTTTTCATTGTGTGATTAGCATGTTTTTATTTTTTCTTGTGTCAGGTCTGTGGGGTTTGGTGAACAACGCTGGCATCTCGGTCCCCATCGGCCCCATGGAATGGATGCAGCTGGAGGACTTTAAGAAGGTTCTGGACGTAAACCTCATCGGTCTTATCGAGGTGACTCTGAAGTGTCTTCCTCTGCTGAAGAAGGCTCGTGGTCGGGTGGTGAACGTGGCCAGCATACTGGGTAGAGTCTCACTCATCGGGGGAGGATATTGTCTCGCTAAATATGGTGTGGAGGCCTTCTCTGATAGCTTGAGGTATGTTTAGGCAATTAACAAGAAACTTCGAGACATGTCAGCAAGGCCTTTTAGCATGTTTTGTAAAAAGTACACATTTTGCAGGTCCTCATGGCTTACATTTTTATTTATTTAATACATATTTTTTTAAATAAATGTATGTATTTATTAAATATCTTTATTTATTTAAATAGATATAAATACATTTTAATGAATACATACATAAAAAGTAATAATTACAAATAAAAATAATACAAATAATAAAACATTACATTTATTCTATTATGTTGACAATAAAATAATCTGTCTATTTATCCATTTTTAATTTTGCAGGTCATCATGGATTTTTTTTTCAAATATAAAAACATAAATACACCATGTATTCATTTAAAAAATATATATTTAAATATAAATAAATCAATACAATTTTAACAAATACATAATGCATTTAATAATTAATAAATTAATTAAAATGTATTTTATATTTTTTTTATAATATATTTTATATTGCTATTAAGCTGATAATATCATCTGACTTTTATTAAAAACAGCCAACAAAATCAATTTCCATGTATTGTCATTTGTCTTTGTAAGACCTCAGACCACAACTTCAGTCTTTCTGAAGTTAACCTTGAAACACGTTGACATTTCATTGAGTAAAACTTTTAAACCTTACCCATACTTCAACTTCTTAGAGATTTGCATCTTTCATTCAATGTCTAATAATGTCTTCAAAATCATTTTATTCTCTCTCTTGCTGCTGTCAGGAGAGATATGATGCACTTTGGAGTGAAGGTAAGTATCATTGAACCAGGCTTCTTCAAAACTCAAATAACAGATTTGAGCCTCATTGAAGATGATCTGAAGAAACGGTGGAACAACCTCCCAGCAGAGGTCAGGAGAGCCTATGGAGACTCATACCTGCAGGACTGTGAGTGCTTCTAATGTCATATCAGTGCAGATTTCATGCAACACTACTTTAGAATTTGAAGACTGATATCGTGATGCATTCAAACATGCACTCACAACTTCAATTTCAATGTTGTTTAGCATTTGCGTATTGCTAATCAATGCAATGACACTCTAAAATACACTGCACACACAAAAAAAGTCTATTTTTAATTATATTAAACCATTTTTGCCGCCTTATATAGATGGAAATGTTTGAAGCAGAGCCTCATGTGATGCTGTTTTGTTGTACAGACTGAACTCGAGTGACATTTCTGAATTTCTCTCAATTATTTTTTCCAGATATAAAGTTGCAGGAGTTCTCAATGAAGATTCTGGCCAGCAGTGATCTTTCTAAAGTGACGTCATGTATGCAGCACGCTCTTTCAGCGCGTTATCCCCGAACACGCTACAGCGCAGGCTGGGACGCCAAGTTCCTCTGGATTCCCCTCTCGTACCTGCCGACATGTATATCAGACATCTTCACCAACAATTTAATGCCTTCCACGAAGGAGAGCTGAATATCTCTACAGAGATTTGCTGAAAACGCCACTGCAGCTCAACTTATCTGATTTGTGAAGTTTTGTCTTTGAAACTGTGATTGCTGTATGCAACAATGATCACCCAGCCCTGCATTATGAAAACAATTCTGCTGATTTGCCAAAAAAAGGCCTAATATTATCTAATTTGATGATGCTGAGTTCAAAAATCAGCATGCGAGTTCATCACATATGCAACATTTAAATGTCAAGTGTTTCATATCATTTAACTTGCAATCTGCAAAGTAGCGGAAAAAGTGGAAATCAGGATTAGGCATAAAAAATGTCTTCAGAATCATTCATATATGTGAAAATGGACTGTGAATTGAACAAATGATTGCAACCTGACCCAGTGTAAGATTGGAAAAATATCTTTGTGGCAAGTTTTCTGCTGATTAGGGAGGAATACAAGAATTCTTCACCTTATAAATAATTGTTGAAAGCAAAAAATGTTATGAAATGCATCATATTTTGTGAGAAAGTGATGCGTAGAGTGAAAAAGGCACTATTTTTGCAATCAGCACCTCAAAAATTAGTAAGGAAAGTATTGGATTTCATTAATGCAGGGCGGTGCAAAAATACAATCAAATAAAAATACATTTTATATATTGTTGCATTTTCCATAAATAAAGTACCCTTTGGTGTCCAACAACAGTCATGTATGTTTTTTTTGTTTGACCATGTCATTTTTTATCAAAAATGGATACTCCAGTCATTTAGTCTGCTTCAACCCTAAGCTCACAATTATCTGCTTCCACTTTTGAGTCCAACACCTACATCTCAACATCACATCAACAACCAATACATACAACCAACATTTTTTAGTTAGTTTCTTTTTTTGATAATCCATTACAATTGGATGTATGTTGCAATACAGAAAACATATGGTTTCACCTAGACTTTAAAATCATGTCAGTACTTATTTCATCAACAAAAAACAAAGTATATGGGTAATGTGCTTTGAAGGAATGACTCAAATTAAGGAAATCTTCCAAATGGAAAACTCTTCAACACTCTTAAAAATCCATGTTTTGCAAATAGTGAAGACCAGGCTTAAAGAGAACCAAGAGCATAGATCTCAAAGCTCTTCATCAAGCACAGGCCCACTGACCTCCCCCCAAAAATTAAGCTTTCATTTTTCCCTGCATATTTTTACAAAACATACACTCTGCACAATCACTACTCCCTCCCTCACTCACTCACTCACTCACTCACTCACTCACTCACTCATTTCTTCAACCCTCTCAATCAGCACTAAGTTTTGCAGAGTTCTTTAAGGCTTCTTTGTAACCAGAATCACCTGCCTTCACTAATTAACCCAACCCACATCATTTAGCCTATTAGTACCATGTGGCAATAAGGGGGACAGACAGAAAGAGAAATGTGTAATATATATAAAATACATTTTATATAATGTTGGCCTTAATATTTTATGGTTTATCTTAATGGATAATATATCAATTAAGAGAAATATATATATATACAGCTGTGCCATGTGATAATGGTGTCATTAGGTCAGATTGAGTTAGACCTATCGGACTTCATGCCAGAACTCTGTATGTGTGTGTATTTGTTGTACATCAAAAAGATCTTACAATTTCTCATAAAACAAATTTATTCGATTTTTCACAGCAGCGTTAATTTGTTTCCAGTTCCTTTCAACAGTAACATAATCGGCATGTCAAGATGAACAAATTCATAATATTCTTTTTTTTTTACTGTCTTTAATATACAAAATCATTTCAAATATATTGACTTCACAGCCCATGCACTTCATCAGATGGGAAAGCAAGTATGAAAAGCCCTTGAAACGCTGATGGGACATCAGAGATCTCCAGATATCACAGTTAGAATCACATGCATATAAACTGGGAAATTTCAAGTATTATTTCAATATATAAAACAGAAGTGGTATGTCTTCTACTTCTATTAAAATGTGTTTACAGCGGAATATGTCAGTGCATTATCATACTTTCAGACTTTCTTTAATGAGAGTCCCTTTCTCTGCATGGAGTAGTTCACAATTTCTGTCATTATTTCATTTGAAACCCATATGCTGTCATTTTGAGGAAAATAAGCAGATCTTTATCATGCAATTTGGTGTCAGTTCCTTAAACAAAGTTGCTGTACAACTTACTACTCACAACTGGAGCGGGAGAGTAAATAATGACCGATTTTTTCATTTTTGGGCGAACTATTCCTTTAATAGCTCTCAGTAGATCTGCACATGAGTGATATATCAGAGATATATATCAGACAGATATATCAGAAAAACGAAAAATTGCACTGGAGGAAGCATTATTATGGATTGTGAACTGGTATTTTAGCTGGAAGCAATGGTTTGAAGTTAAAAACACCTTAATGATGGCTTTGTTTCTGACAAACACGCAGCTTTTTGCTTCACAAGATGTTAACTGATGGACTGGAGTGATGTGGATTATTGTGATGTTTTTATCAGCTGTTTGGACTCTCATTCTGACGGCACCCATTCACTGCAGAGGATCCATTGCTGAGCAAGTGATGCAATGCTACATTTCTCCAAATCTGTTCTGATGAAGAAACAAACTCATCTATATCTTGGATGTCCTGAGGGTGAATTATGATTTTTGGGTGATCTATTCCTTTACGAATAATCAGATCAAATGGCAAAGTCTCAGCTGGCTCTCAAAGCACTTTTACTCAGTATCGTTGGCATATGTGTGTGTGTGTGTGTCCGCGAATCTCCAGGAATAAGTAATAATCTATTTCAAAATAACATCTGACCAGAGGATATTATCAAACAAAATCTTTTCAATTTACAAATGTACAAAATATTCATAACATTCTCCTTCAGCAGCATTAGTGCAAAGATATACAAATATGACGTCACAATAATAATAAAAAAAAAGAATCATACAACATGAATTGGCATACAAAGTATCAGAAGGCAAAGTCTCTTTTCTGTAGAATATACAAACATTTCATCTATACTTTTTTTTTTGTTTCAAAAATAATCTTAAATTGATTTCTGTCGTATGTAGGCTGCATATAAAAATAGATTCTGTGCAAAGGGAGTTTTTCTTTGTATTTTCCCGTGTGTGATGGTCATATTTCACTGTCCTCTTTAACTAGGTTGGCCGTGTCTGTAAAGGTGTCCTCTGTTGGTGAATAGGCGCTCAGTTTCTCTCGTTTCTGGGGTTTGGGAGGAGGACCGAAAGGAGACGGCTGTGATGAAGAGCTGGCGTCTGCAGCTCCATGCATTTGCTCATCCTGCATCTGACACAAACACAACGTCAACTTTGACCACATGCGCATCATTCTCACATTAAGACCCATATTCTGCTTAAAACTTTATTCTGAAAATAACGTTTACATGCTTTACAGCTATGGGAATATTCCTGTCCACATGCATTTCATTTCTCCTGTGGAAATACTGCTGATGGTTTATTATGATACCTTTTAGTGACAAAATTTCAGTATCATTGAAATGCTATTAGAATTTTTGTTAACGTTTTGAATTCGATTTTCTGTTTTCATTTTAACTCCCAAGTTTCAGTAATTTTAGTTGATTTAGTTTTAATAAAATGAGAAAAATAAAAATTAAAAATAAATATGTTTAAGTTCCAGTAATGAAAATTGAAATACAGCTGAATAGAAAAAATAAATAAAAATAAAATAAAAAATAATAAAAATGACAAAATGACCAAAACCTAACCTAAAATTAAATGGAAAACAAAATAAAAACTCATTTAAAATATTAATAAATGTTATAATAGTACATAAAAAAGGATTTTATATTTTAGTCAGTTTTATTTCAAGTAATTAAATAGTTTTTTATGGTTTTCAATTTTAGCTAACGATAATAAATTTAGTCTTGTTTCCGGGGGGGCGGGGGATTAACTGCCAGTGGTGTAAGTAAAATATTCTAAATATTCTAAAAATACTAAGTAAGATAAGCCATATTTATGCAGTGTACACAGAATCCCATTAGAAACTAGTGCACTGATAATGTAAGTCTTGGAAAAGATGAAACATTAACACTGTGATAAGTCAAGAAAAATGTGCTGAGTGCACTTAACAATCCAGGAGTCAGGAGTTACTGTTAAATCGACACAAAAGACCACCATTTACCAGCTGCATGGCCCTGTCGATGAACGACACTCCCAGAGTCTGAGGCTCCAGGTCCATCGTGACATTGTCACCTGAATGAAATGCCACTCCATTTCCTGTGTCTGCCGACTTCACCAGGCTGCTCAGACTAAGAGAAACAGAAAAACAGTGGAGAAAAAAATGGTACATGAAAATGATACCAACTCAAACAGTGTTTCTGCTATTGAAGTTTAAATCAGAGACATATAAACATCTTAATGCTTTCTTCCATCTAGTCTAATTAAGTGGAAACTTCACAGAGAAATAAAAAGAACATTAAAACCATCGCAATATTGAATGTTGCTTAATTTGATATAATCAGTGAAGTCATTGCAAATATAACACATATATTCAATATAACACAGAACTCAGGCAGTAGGTTAAGTTCCCTTTCATGGGAACTTTGAACTGCAAGAGCACCTGGAACCAGCAGCATCAGGTGGATTAGGCCCTTCCTCTGCCTCCCTGATGCGCTCCCTGAGAAGGTCGAGCCCCCTTCTCGGATTGAGAACTGGGTGTGTTGCTCCCTCAGCTGAATAACTGCTAGCTGTTCCACCATTGGAACATGCTGTAGGTTGAGCTCCCTCTCGTTGAGAGCTGGATGTTGCTCCCTCAGCTACAGATTTACTGCTAGCCACTCCAGCATTATAGCCTTAGACATAGCGTTTGGGGATACACTATTTCTATCTATGGGCTGCTCTTTCAGGGTGCCACGAGAACCCCTAGAACGGTATTCAATTGTGTGCACATTATGCTTTGCCCACTTTTCTAAAATCCACATAATCCCTACTCAGGGAACCATGGTTACATAAGTAACCTGAGACGTTTAGTAATCAGCAACCTAATAATCTTTAACTAGATGCTGTTTTGATGTTGTGTTACTGTGACAAGCTATAAGTTCTCAGTTTGACATTAAAAATCAATTGGCAAAGGAGGAGGAGATGTCAGGGTTTATGAATGACATGACTAGATCCGTTCAAAAGTTTGGGGTTAGTAAGATTTTTTTTTTTTTTTGAAAGAAATTAATGCTATTATTTAGCAAGGACATTAAATTGATCAAAAGTGACAGTAAAGGCATGCATACAATTAAAAAAAAAAATTCTAATAAATGTTGTTTTTTGAACTTTCTATTCATCAAAGAATCCTGATAAAACGTATCGTGGTTTCCACAAAACCATATGAAGCAGCACAACTGTTTTCAACATTAAAAATAATAAGAAATGTTTCTCGAGCAGCAAATCAGCATACTAGTATGCTTTCTGAAGGATCGTGTGGCACTAAAGACTGGAGTAATGATGCTGAAAATTCAGCTTTGCATCACAGGAAAAAAAATACATTTGAAAACATATTCAAAAAGAAAATAGTTATTTTAAATTGTAATAATATTTCACAATATTTTAACTGTATTTTTGATCAGATAAATGCAGCCTTGGTGAGGTTTCAACTCAAAAACATTTAAAAACTTTAGCTAACCCAAACTTTTGAACAGTTTTGTAAACCATGCGTAAAGATGAGCAAAATATCAAACCAAGTGGCATTTATTTTAGAGAAATAAAGCATTTTTCAAGCAGCAAAATCCCCAAAATAAGTCACAATACTGACAGTAGACACTCATATATTCATACATGCACTAAAAGCACATTGAGACTGGCTGCTTAAACTGAAGTCATAAAATATGAAGTCATATAGCTGAACTGTAGGTAGTTGAGTGGCGTGTTTGTGTTGTACCTGGGTAGTTTAGGCATTGACGGGATGAGAGAGCCGGTGCGCTTGTAGTTGAGGAAAACTCCCACAACCAGAGCTCCAGTAATCAGACTAATAACCACTGCTAACAGGACGGTCACAGCTACACACACACACACACACACACAGTATGTAAGACATATGTGTGCAGTCTCATTAGTTTTCATTTGAAATTAACATGTGTAACAAGACGGATAGAGTAATTAGAGTTGATAAATAACAACATCACATGTTACAAACCGTGAGCAAATGTGTTTACAATGAAACTAATAATAACTAATTAACAAGGAAGGGTTTGTTTACCTGTTCCTGCAGGAGCACCTCTAGACTTCCCCATTTCACAGTAACTACCCGAGTAACCGTATGGACACCTGAGGAGCATAAACACTGAACCGTTACAGACAATCTACAGTATGGCTTTGACAAAAATGGTTCTTTCTACAATCTGATACTTACTGCATATTTTTAGATTTTCATGATGATTGTCATTTGTGTTCACATAGTCGTATTGTATCTGCGACTATTGTATTTATATGTTGCAGAAGTTCAGGAGTCATTTAAAAAAATTTTTAAATTGCAATATTAATCTAATTATTAAAATAATATTTAAGTAATAAATTAAATGATGCAGTTTCATATTAAATATCAGTCAATTATAACTAAATAAAGAGGTTTTGTGTATGACAAATTATGTTTATAATTAAAATAACAATCTATCTATCTATCTATACACACACACACACACACACACACACACACACACACACAGGTTCATATATATTTGGACACTGACACAATTTTCACAATTTCGGCTCTGTATGCCACCAGAATAGAATTAAAATTAAAAAATCAAAAGTTTGGGGTTAGTAAGATTTATTTTTTTTTTTGAAAGAAATTAATGCTATTATTTAGCAAGGACATTAAATTGATCAAAAGTGACAGTAAAGGCATGCATACAATTAAAAAAAAAAATTCTAATAAATGTTGTTTTTTGAACTTTCTATTCATCAAAGAATCCTGATAAAACGTATCGTGGTTTCCACAAAACCATATGAAGCAGCACAACTGTTTTCAACATTAAAAATAATAAGAAATGTTTCTCGAGCAGCAAATCAGCATACTAGTATGCTTTCTGAAGGATCGTGTGGCACTAAAGACTGGAGTAATGATGCTGAAAATTCAGCTTTGCATCACAGGAAAAAAAATACATTTGAAAACATATTCAAAAAGAAAATAGTTATTTTAAATTGTAATAATATTTCACAATATTTTAACTGTATTTTTGATCAGATAAATGCAGCCTTGGTGAGGTTTCAACTCAAAAACATTTAAAAACTTTAGCTAACCCAAACTTTTGAACAGTTTTGTAAACCATGCGTAAAGATGAGCAAAATATCAAACCAAGTGGCATTTATTTTAGAGAAATAAAGCATTTTTCAAGCAGCAAAATCCCCAAAATAAGTCACAATACTGACAGTAGACACTCATATATTCATACATGCACTAAAAGCACATTGAGACTGGCTGCTTAAACTGAAGTCATAAAATATGAAGTCATATAGCTGAACTGTAGGTAGTTGAGTGGCGTGTTTGTGTTGTACCTGGGTAGTTTAGGCATTGACGGGATGAGAGAGCCGGTGCGCTTGTAGTTGAGGAAAACTCCCACAACCAGAGCTCCAGTAATCAGACTAATAACCACTGCTAACAGGACGGTCACAGCTACACACACACACACACACACACAGTATGTAAGACATATGTGTGCAGTCTCATTAGTTTTCATTTGAAATTAACATGTGTAACAAGACGGATAGAGTAATTAGAGTTGATAAATAACAACATCACATGTTACAAACCGTGAGCAAATGTGTTTACAATGAAACTAATAATAACTAATTAACAAGGAAGGGTTTGTTTACCTGTTCCTGCAGGAGCACCTCTAGACTTCCCCATTTCACAGTAACTACCCGAGTAACCGTATGGACACCTGAGGAGCATAAACACTGAACCGTTACAGACAATCTACAGTATGGCTTTGACAAAAATGGTTCTTTCTACAATCTGATACTTACTGCATATTTTTAGATTTTCATGATGATTGTCATTTGTGTTCACATAGTCGTATTGTATCTGCGACTATTGTATTTATATGTTGCAGAAGTTCAGGAGTCATTTAAATTTTTTTTTAAATTGCAATATTAATCTAATTATTAAAATAATATTTAAGTAATAAATTAAATGATGCAGTTTCATATTAAATATCAGTCAATTATAACTAAATAAAGAGGTTTTGTGTATGACAAATTATGTTTATAATTAAAATAACAATCTATCTATCTATCTATACACACACACACACACACACACACACACACACACACACAGGTTCATATATATTTGGACACTGACACAATTTTCACAATTTCGGCTCTGTATGCCACCAGAATAGAATTAAAATTAAAAAATCAAGATGAAACTGAAGTGCAGACTTTAAGCTTTAATTCAAGGGGTTGAACAAGAATATTGTCACACCTTATGGATTTTTTGTTTGCTTTCTCTCCTCGTGTTCTTTGATCTAGTTTTTGTCTTATTGTTTTTTTGTCTAGTTTTAGTTATTATTAAATATCCTCATTTGCCTTTGTACTTAAGTTCAAGTCTGTTCAGTTTGTCTTTGTCCGGTCTTGTCGATGTGTACATGTGTTTCAAGCCTTCCTTGTGTGGATTACCTTTATGTGGATTTATTAAAGACTGTTTGATATAATGTAATGACTTTTACATTTAATGTAAAAGTCAGTGAAAGTTTTAAACTTTAGAAATTTTAAACTTTTTACACTAAACACCAATAACCCAGTGCCACTGGAAGCCATGCATGCTCATGCCATCACACTGCTCCATGCTTCACAGATGATGCTGTATGCTTTGGATCATGAGCTGTTCCAAGCCTTCTCCATACTTTTTTCTTCCCATCATTCTGGAACAGGTTGATCTTAATTTCCAAAGAATGCTCTTTCAGAAGTGGTCTGGCTTTTTTAGATGTTTTTTGGCTAAGTCTAATCTGGCCTCAAATATCCTCAAATTAAAGTTCAGAGTGTGCACTTTAAGTCCATATTCATTATATAACTGTAACTTGAATATGTTTTGGTCAACAGCAAAAATACAAAAAATTGTGTTGGTGTCCATATACATATGGACCCGACTATATATATATATATATATATATATATATATATATATACTGTATATATATAGCTGTTTCTTTAATATAGTGTGTTGTATATACAATCTACAAGTTGCAGCAAGTTTTCATAGAACAGTGAACATATCTCACAATATCAAGGAAAATTCCTCATGATATGAGCCCTTTAAATAACTCTATCAGCGGGGCGGCTGTGATGCTCTACACTAGCGTTCACACTCACTTGCACTTCGGCAGGCCTCCCTCATCAGTGTAGCATGTTCCTCCATTCATGCATCTGCATGCAAGTGGCATGGACACCTCTGCCTCGATGGCTGCATGTGCGAGGCAATGCAACACAGTCACAATGCAATCACATCACAAGTCAAACACTCACTTTCATCACAATTATCAGAGCACTGAAGTCAAAACATCACATGACAATAATGAAATCATGCAGCAGCAGATGCAGCACATGCATGTATGTTATGAAATGTATTGATGGGATGCAATGGAGCCAATCAGCTCATCTCAAACTAACAGCAGTAGGTGTGTGTTCATCTCTTACCGGCATCACATTCATTCTTGTTGAATGAGAGCAGTGTGGAGCCCTGCGGACAGGCACAGGTGTATCCACCTGGCCGCAGCAAACACAGGTGACTGCAGACACCCTGACAGGGGTTCAGCACTGCAAGAGAATTTGAACAGTCATTTACTATTGCTATTACAGGAATTATCTTTGGCTAAAAGAAATGCGGTGAAAAAGAACTGAGGAACAGGTGCTTTTATTCAACTTAATTCACCTGTGGTTTCTACACAGTTGTTCTTGGGTATAAAGACAAATGCAAAACCACTATATACTGTATATATATTAATTAGCACGTAACTTAAAGTTCACGGGCATTTGCATCCTTTTGTGCAGATACAAGTTGTAATGTTACGTCTATGTTATGCATCTAAGTTATCTGATTAAAATCATAGGATGTGTCATAGAACGGGCTTCAGTTTATGGGCATAAAGTCACTCAGCTTCACCTCAGGCAGCTATTCCTTTCTGGATGCATCTAACATTGCTGCATCATAATCATACTCTAACAGTGTTCATGTTTTCATATACAGGTTTTCATGTCATATTTTAATTTTTAACATTAATTTTTTAATCACATCTAAAATAAAAGTTTTTGTTTACATAATATATGTGTATGTATTGTGTATATTTATTATGTATATATAAATACACAAACATACAGCATATATTTTGAAAATATTTACATGTGTATATTTATAGTCATATAATTTATATCATATATAAATATATTTAATCTATAAACATAACATATTTTTCTTAAATATATAAATGCATGTGTGCGTATTTATATATACTGTACATAAAAAATATACACAGTACACACATATATTATGTAAACAAAAACTTTTATTTTGGATGCAATTAATCGCCATTAATCGTTTGACAGCACTAATCTTTACTCATAAATCTCTACATGAGCTCAATACATGAGCAATATCAACCCAAAACAACTATTTTATAAGATTAATTTATTTAATTTCCATGACTTTTCCAGACCTAAAAAATCAAAATTTTACAAAGTTCATTACTACATAGTAAATATATAGTTTCGTTCATATTCTCATTCATATTCTTACCCTAGACCAGGATTGACCACAATAGCGGCTGGCTGATCAAGATCACTGTGAATCAGCCACTTTCTGTAACGTCCATCCAGTTTCGACACTTCGATTCTATTAGTCCCAGCATCTGTCCAGTAAATATGGCTAATGGAAAAGACAAAATGCATAGCAGAAGGGATGTTTATTTCTCTGGAACTGTCCCAGTAACCAGTTAGACAATCTGCATCAGCGCTCAAGTAAAGTATAGAAAAGCATGTCACATACCCTCCGATCCAGTCCACAGCTATGCCATCAGGACTGGAGATGTATCTGAGGTTCAGGTCCACCTCTTTCACAGGATTATTTCCATGGTCATCAAACGTGGTCATGTAGGCCCTCTTAATCGCACCGAACTCAGAGCCTCGTCCCAACACTGTCCAGAACACTATACCTGAAAAATAAGATGTAGAAATATGTTTCAGTGTGCATTCATAACTTGATTACAGAAACACAATAACACAGTGTTAACGGTGATCATGTTTTCATAAACCTAGGTTGGTTTGGTAAGGATTTCAAAACATTCTTCAAAAGAAATCCTGTAATAGTATATAAAGAATACTAAAGTAACACTGGCTTTGCCTTATTGTGCTGTAGATTGGGCTTCCCTGTGCTGCATCTGCATCAAAACATTAAGCATATGTCATATTAGATGGGATATCCCGTGAATATTGTCTTACTTAGGCCGAGGCCTTCTGGATCCCACAGGTAGTCCAGTGCCTGAATGTGCTCTGCATTATCCACATAATCAGAGTACTGCGCTGACGAGAGATTAAATCGACGGATCCGCACGTTATCAGGCAATAACAAGACGGGAGGATTTCCTGTGGGAAAAAATGATAGAGAGCGAAAGAAACGGTGATGTCAAAGCCTAGACTTGCATTGCTGCCTACAAATGCAGCTGTCTTCTACAGAGATGCAAACAGGTAAGGGGAAAAAAGGTGAGAACATTGCGTGGATTGCGGGAGCATGCTCCACACGGAATTTCTCCACATGGATATTTGCTTTACATGCTCATTTGTAGTTACTATATATATATATATATATATATATATATATATATATATTATTACCTTATATGTCCAAAACTGTCATTTTTCACAAAAAAACTCCCCATCTTGATTCAACATTTTACAGAAATCAAGATTGAGTAGATTTGGTCAGAATCCCTTGTTATAATAGATGAAGTGCTATGCAGGCTATTTAAGACAATATTGGCTGATTAGACGGCAATGCTGACTTAAAATGCAAAATGTCTGCCCTCCCTCTCGTCACCGTTCCCACATCTCAGACCTCAAATACATAAAATATTACCCTTTTTAGACATAGTTTTTGAAATAAAGACTAAAGAAAATACTATACAAAACTTATTGAATCAACCAGGGGCCAGTTTCATAGCCACCATGTCAAGACTAGGGCTGGGTATCGTTCAAAAAGTTTCGATATCGATACCGATACCGATACCTTGACTTCGATACCGGTTCCTGAACGATACTTTTTCCGATACCAATTTTATGAAATCAATTTTAACTTGCTTGATGTTTATACAAACTCAAAGACTCATCTCCTGAGCCACTGCACAAAGGAACAAAATGCAACCAACACAATAAATCAGTGCAAAATAGTTTTAATAAAGCTCAAATAGTCTTCAGTTTACACATCTGTTAGGCTACATTTACACTAGTTAGTGTTCGTTTTAAAATGCATAGCTCAGACAGAATCATGATTTCTATTTATTTTCCACTGATTTACTGATGAGCATTAGCAGCTTCCAGTGCTGTCTGTCTGTGTTCTCATGCAATTCGGTCGGTACCTAAAAAGTATCGAATTCGATACCCAGCCCTAGTTAAGACTGTGGCTTAACTAGTTTGACCAACTAGCAGTTGCCAAGGAGTAATCAGTCTTACTTTTCCAATACAAATAAGACCAATCTACCTTTTCATAACTAAATTAAAAAAAGTTATGACCAGTCTGACTAGATGACTAACTTTTTAAGACTAGTTTAAACAGTTTATGCAACCAGTCTCAGTTCTTTATTTACCCTTGTAAGATCACAAGTACCCTTGCAAGAACCCCCCCTCATTTTGATCTAAAAAAAGTGAGTTGTCACTGAAAGGTGAGGAGTTTGCCTCTATGACTTCTAAAGGTGCATTCCTATTTACCAATGTTCGTCAAATTTTCAAGTTTTAGGCTATAGAAGGTAAAAAAAGATGATAAATGAAAGGCCTTTCCCTCAGCAGCGCATTCGACTCCCCGCTGCTCTCCCACTGATCGAACCCCATCAGCGCAGAAACACTCATAACTGCCCTTAGTGTTCCTGCACAGCTGTGGGCACGTCCCATAAATCTCACACTCTTTCACATCTGCAGACGGGCAGAAAACACCTCACATTATACATACAGGAAGCATTTCAACTTCTAATGGTGTGCCAATGTTGTTTCGAAGTTGTGTGCAGGCATAGCTGCGCACTTCTTGTGTTGCTTTCACGCAGACAGAAAATACTCCATGCCAAGGACAGAATGAAAAACGAACTGATCATTTTCTGTAGCGCTGCTTTATAGCTGAATCAAATTTGTCTTTGTGATTGAGGAACTTTCCAGCATCAACACTGTCATTGAACTGAATTGAACCTAGGTTTATTATAATTACGTGAAACTAAAATGAATTTTTTTTTTATTAAAATAATCGTTAACTGCAATAAAATAAAACACAAAAAAAGGAAACTCTTTTTTTCAGCTAGTTGCCAAGGCAAAATTTCTCAGAATTTAGAATTTAGTTTAACTTGATGTACTAAAAATAACTGAAATAAAATGAATGAATGATACGCACAACTAAATTGAACTAAAATTAAAATGCAAAAATAAACTTAATTCAAAATATTAATACAAACTATAATATTATCTCAGTGGTACTAATATAACACTGAACTGACTTGAGCTAATTAATCATACTATTGCATCTGTTGAGCTGCTTATAGATGAATAGAATTAGTTTTATAACTGATGAACTTTGCAACACTAGCTACGTTTACATGCAACCAAATAATCCGCTGGTAATTGGACTGATGGCTCAATCAGACTGAAAAGGCTTCATGTAAACGCCTTAATCGATCCGACTGAGCTCCTAAACTCTTGATCGGATTGAATCGATACCGATACCTTGACTTCGATACCGGTTCCTGAACGATACTTTTTCCGATACCAATTTTATGAAATCAATTTTAACTTGCTTGATGTTTATACAAACTCAAAGACTCATCTCCTGAGCCACTGCACAAAGGAACAAAATGCAACCAACACAATAAATCAGTGCAAAATAGTTTTAATAAAGCTCAAATAGTCTTCAGTTTACACATCTGTTAGCTACATTTACACTAGTTAGTGTTCGTTTTAAAATGCATAGCTCAGACAGAATCATGATTTCTATTTATTTTCCACTGATTTACTGATGAGCATTAGCAGCTTCCAGTGCTGTCTGTCTGTGTTCTCATGCAATTCGGTCGGTACCTAAAAAGTATCGAATTCGATACCCAGCCCTAGTTAAGACTGTGGCTTAACTAGTTTGACCAACTAGCAGTTGCCAAGGAGTAATCAGTCTTACTTTTCCAATACAAATAAGACCAATCTACCTTTTCATAACTAAATTAAAAAAAGTTATGACCAGTCTGACTAGATGACTAACTTTTTAAGACTAGTTTAAACAGTTTATGCAACCAGTCTCAGTTCTTTATTTACCCTTGTAAGATCACAAGTACCCTTGCAAGAACCCCCCCTCATTTTGATCTAAAAAAAGTGAGTTGTCACTGAAAGGTGAGGAGTTTGCCTCTATGACTTCTAAAGGTGCATTCCTATTTACCAATGTTCGTCAAATTTTAAAGTTTTAGGCTATAGAAGGTAAAAAAAGAGGATAAATAATTTCAGATTGAAAGGCCTTACCCTCAGCAGCGCATTCGACTCCCGGCTGCTCTCCCACTGATCGAAACCCATCAGCGCAGAAACACTCATAACTGCCCTTAGTGTTCCTGCACAGCTGTGGGCACGTCCCATAAATCTCACACTCTAAATTATATTACAAAAAGAAAGTTTAGTTGGATAGTCGGGCTGTGCGATAAACCGCATTTTGATCAGGATCACGATTTCTGCTTCTGTCAGTTTATTAAGCATAATCATCTGCAATATTTAACTGTTGGTTATTTATCCTGAAAATCTTTCATTTTAATATGCCACTTGCATTGGTAACAAGCCTCCACAGGCTTTTATGGCTGTGGTTGCCAGATTTAAATAGTTTAAATCCCCAATCTGAGCTTTTCTCTTAAATCGATACATTTTCTGCCCAGTGGTTTATGTAAACTTCCCAAAATGGCAACCACGCATACACGTTCCCTCTTCATTACTGAAAACGTGCTGATGAGCTGAAAACACTGGCAAACATGTAAGTTAGAGCAATCTCAATGGAGATATTATACTCAAGTAAAAGTGTAATACAGCCAGTCTGTTTTCTTTCAGGTGGTCATTTGTGCTGTTTGCTGTGACTAAATCTGCCATTTGACCAGGGTTGCCAGGTCTGCGAAACAAAAGCATTCTAACTGCGTATCTAACTGCTTTTCGGTGGTTTTCTCCCCTGTCGGTGGGTCCCCTCCCATCGAAATCATTTTCTGGGGGGAATGTTTAACACATGGACTAAAAAAACAACCCACTGCAACAGTGTAAACGTAGCCCAATGCTGCAGAAAAAACACAGACTAGGCAACATTGGAGTTAACTTTCTCTTGATTTGTGATTACGTGAAAGTGCAATAATTCTAATTAAATGTAAAGAAAAAAATTATAATAAAATGACAATAATCACCAATAATAGTTTGATTTTTGAGCAAAATAATCATGTTATACCTTTTAAAATAGATAAACAGAACGATCGATAGAAAGAACAATTGATAGATAGATAGATAGATAGATAGACAGAACGAATGATCGATCGATAGAATGATAGATAGATAGATAGAATGATAGATATATAGATAGATAGATAGATAGATAGAATGATAGACAGATAGAATGATAGAAAGAATGATAGAAAGAACGATAGAATGATAGATAGAACGATAGATAGAATGATAGATAGATAGAAAGAATGATAGAAAGAACGATAGAACGATAGATAGAACGATAGATAGAACGATAGATAGATAGATAGGTAGAACGATAGAACGATAGATAGAACGATAGAAAGAATGATAGATAGAACGATAGATAGATACAATGATAGAAAGAACGATAGAACGATAGATAGATAGATAGATAGATAGATAGA